TTGTGATTGGGGAGGCACTGACTTTAAAAGTCAGATTTACAATCATTATTCAAATAAAATAGCATTTAATCACCAATGCAATGACATCCACAAACTTTATATACTGTAAAGATAAGAGAACCAGCTTCTTTTAATAATCTCACAACAAATCTAGCTGCTGACTCTGCTCCGCATCAAACAACATCTTTAAGAAGCGCAGGTGCGAGAGACGCGAGGAGAGAGGAGCAGAGAGAGACAGAGAGGAGCAGAGAGAGACGGAGACGCGAGGAGAGAGAGACGCGAGGAGAGAGGAGCAGAGAGAGACAGAGAGGAGCAGAGAGAGACGGAGACGCGAGGAGAGAGAGACGCGAGGAGAGAGGAGCAGAGAGAGACAGAGAGGAGCAGAGAGACGGAGACGCGAGGAGAGAGAGACGCGAGGAGAGAGGAGCAGAGAGAGACAGAGAGGAGCAGAGAGACGGAGACGCGAGGAGCAGAGAGAGACAGAGAGGAGCAGAGAGACGGAGACGCGAGGAGCAGAGAGAGACAGAGACGCGAGGAGAGAGAGACGCGAGGAACATAAACAATAATTTAAACAAGTTGCAGAACTCTTGAGCAGTGTTTGAATCAGTGTTTTTCGGAAAAGCACTACTTTGCCGGTATCTGTCAATGTTCAACATAAAACACAGATTAACAAACTCCTCCCCCGCAGCCGGACTAACCTCGTAAGTCCAGTGGTGGTCTCCCAGTCTATATTAATTCTTTCTTTGTTTGAAAGTCCAATTGAGAAAAAAAATCTTCATTCAAATCATCCATTTTCCAGCAAAAGAAATAGCATTTTGGGCTGATTGTTTGTTAGCAACTCTGGTATGAACTTTATGCTCACTATCACCCCTAGCGGTGAGGCACAGATACCGCCTGCCTCACGCCAAGCTTTTTCCTTGTGTGTTCATCTACGATCAAAAGACTTAAACTAAATATAAATTGTACACACATACGTGCAATACACTACTAAACACTAAGAGGAGTTTAAAAAATGTTTTTAAAGCAGGATATTTGAAACAAACGGTGATATATCAACTGCACGAGCTGAGTGCACTCAGACACACACACACACACTGTGAGGGAGCGGTCTGGGGTGAGGCACGCAGGAGCGCTGCCTCACCTCGTCTCTTTGAATAGGAATAACGGGATTTCGGCGATTTTGACTTCAGAAATGATCAAAACTGATGGGAACCGTGCCGAATATACATTAAAAGCATAGGACAGTGGATATAAATTATATATTTAAACTAAAATAATTATTAGTTTCCAATAATGGCAGGTGAGGCTCTGCCTCCCCTGCCTCCCCTGACTGCACGTCCCTGGTCTATTCTTGGCCTCGCCTTCATTCTCAGCTGTCAAGTGCTCTTTGTCTTTGACTTCCATGATCTTTTTTGATCACAAGGGAAAGTATCGGATACTTTTCTTCACTTAACAGAAGCACAAGGTCTTCTTCAGACTTGTTATTATTAGTGTTTGTTACTGAATAAGCAAACTTTTAGTGTCAAGGTCAGAAAGTAAAAATCTTAATGTCCTTGTCTCTCTCATTCATAAACTGTGAAGAGAGTATGGCCATCGCATTTGCATTCAGGTATTGTAAATGTCTAGTGGGATTTTCGATGGGTTTTTAAAAACAAATTCCTTTGTAACATTTTGTGAATTATGTGTGATTATTTCTGTGCAGGCTTCAAGCGATAAATGACCCTTCCTGATGTGGCTGGGGACGACTTAATTCTTTGCCGTCACTTTAAGGTCTGTATTAGCTCCGTTTCAAAAGTATGTAAAATTGACTGATAAAAAAAAAAAAAATGGATTGGAAAAAGCATAAATACTTATAGCATACATGTTGTTTTCTGCCTTCAACTACAACTGGAGCTGATAGTTTGGCCTTTTAAACTTTATCTTCAGTGAAGACTTGGCTCCCTCTGTTGCTTATAGCATGTCATTACAATTAGAATAAGATGATGTTTTAATTTTCATTTTCTCTGTTTGCTACCTAAGTGAGTTGATTGACTGCTTTGTAACAGAAATGATTGCTCAAACATTTAAGGTCAGGAATCTATCGGTTGGATGAAATGTAACAACAATAATATATGTATCTCCATGAAAAAAGTCTAAGGTATAATAAAATAATAGCTTCTACAGGATACATGAAATGCAGAGTTCCATAAGAGCAAATGTATTTAGCTGAACGCAGGGACACCCTGCTGCTCATGCTACTTTCTGATTGGATACTCATCTTATGAGCATCTAATCTTATACAACATCATATATTATTACTTTTATCTAGCTTGTCCCTTGTATTTTAAAAATAATGGCTGTATAGCTTTTTATAATAGCTTATATGTTATAAGCTATGTATATATATATATATATATATATATATATATATATATACATACATATATACATTATGTGTATGTATGTGTATATATTACATAGTGAACAAATGTCTAGTTTAGTTTAGTCTAATTATAAGACACTTTTATTCTCTAATATACATCGCACCTTTTTAACCTAATTATAAAGTATCCCTATGAAACCATGATTATAGCTTTCATTTGTTATTTTTACTTTGTGACGAGTTGAGATTCTTTGAATCATGACTCTAAAAATCATGAGTAGTAAAAGGGGAGGGTGGTTTTCAGGGACTGTCCCTGGCCCAACATCAAGTGATATTTATTGTATGATCCCCATCACCAGTAAGGACAATATACACACACAGATACACATTATTTATTCACTGCATTCAGTATTAATTCATGTATATTCTCTCTCAATTCTCTCAAACCCCTAAAATATCAGGCGGTGCGACAATCAGTCTAATAATATTGTGATTAGCCTGAATGAGCAAATTGCTTACAGAATACAAGCAGACAAAAACCCAACTGACAACTGTGTCTTGACATGATAGCATAATTTGTTGAAAAAGTAAATCAATGATATCCTTCAATGTTGTACAAAATGTCTAATTCATGAGAGCGACAATACTACTATTATATTGCGGCCAGACCAAGCCGCAGATATGTAATTTATAACGAAGGTACTATTGACGTGTGAAATAAAAATATCCATATCTTTATGCAAACACAGGATCAGAAAAATATTCATATATATTTTTTGAAATATGTATTTTTTTGTCTTTTCCATATCCCACGTTCAAACTGTCCTCTCGAGTCTTTTTGATTGAAGTCTAGTCCAGACAATCAAAACTACAACCTTCATTACTTTTGTGTTTCTTGCCCTGAAGGTCAACAAGAAAAAGATAGTGATCTGGTCATGTATGTGAAGGGGATATGAAATGCACTCGAGAGGCGATAACATGCTGCAGCTGTCGAGGGAGCATTAAGGTCACTCAGCGCTGCTCAGCTCACTGAGGTCTGTCATGGCATTGTTTCCTTTCCTTTGGCCTTGGTGACAAAGATAGCACTGTGAAATTCTTGTCTGGGTATTTTCTTGTTTGAGAATGACATTATGATGGAGTATAACAGGTGCATGATTTCAGACCTTTCAGATATAGATCAAGAAGAGTGAGTTAAAGGCGCGTTCACACTTGTTGGTCTGCTTCACTTGTTTCTGGATGCACCAAACCTTTATTGGTTGCATCTTGAGTTAGAGATACATTTTTGGATTACATGAAAACCAAAATAGTAAATATCCTTAAAATTCACAGAATTGGACTCCTTGGACTTTTATAGTCCATCTTGTAGTTCATATTTTTTATACTCACTTCAGATATGAAAGTTGAGTCGTCAAAACAAAATACATGCTCAATCTGTGCAATGTGACCATTGGGTCTCCAAGTAAACCAGTCAGTAGAGGCTAAAACTACTAACACTACTAAATGTATCAGTTTCACAAAGAGCCCATTCAAACTGCTTGAAAACAACTTCACTGGGAAAGGTGATATCCCTTGACTGTGATAATATGTATTTTGTTTTGCATCTTACACATAAGACTACACTGTAACAAATTTCTGTAAAATTACAATGAAATTTCAACATTAAACAAATGTTATTTTGAAAAACAATTAAAATATGCAAATTTAAGTATAAATTGGTTAAAAAACATCCAGTGGCGTTTTATTACCACAATTACAATGTGATTACAAAAAAACGTTACAATACCATAAAATCACAATGTGATTAATAATCACATTGTGATTTTATGGTATTATTACCGTAATTTAACATAAACCTGTATTTTTGGAATGCTGGGGAATTTTTGCTTGCGAGCAACCATGAGTGAGTCTTACACATGTAAACTCCTGCTTTAGTTAAAATGATATTTTTGCATTACGCATGTTATAGAAGTAAAGATTTCAATTACTTTCTTGTATAAACTAAAGATGTTAAAAAATAATTGAAAAGTTGTGTTCATTACAGTAAAACAAATTAAACTGTGTAGTTCTTTGTTCAATTAAACTAATTAGAAACAGAAACAGTCATATGGTGTATTAATACTACATTAACATTATAATTCTGTTTTTGTTGTAGTGAATTAACAGGAACATACAGTTCAATCCTGAAATTACAAAGACATAATGTGATTCAGTGAAACAGTCTTCAACCGTTAAAATTAGCAACGGTAATGCCATGTTGAGAAAACGGTACATTCCTGGAACCATATTTGCCAGCTATTTACAGTTTTTCTACAAGGAAATTTTTTACAGTGCACTTATGGTTGTGGTTTATGATACATTGTTGTTTATTTGTTTTAGGCTCACATAAACTGGTTGATTATGTATATTGTGATTTTGGAAGTGGAAAAGTATTTATGGGCCAAAAGTTAGAGAGACACAGACTCTAGCAGGCAGCTCATATTTCATCCATCCATGTTAATGAAATCCAAATGATGAGACGGTGTGTTGTTTTTACAAATGCAATACAAAGTTGTACATTAATAATTTGCTTTATTCTATAGATCTACAATGGAGATAGAAGATATCAAGTCACACAAAAGTTGCATGACGGCTGAAAGCTTCACTCCTCATCCAGTCCTTTCTGTAAAACACAAAATGGAAACAGATACAGGTCAGAGCAAGAAGGCCTGAGAGACAGCAAATAAAGAGTTTGTCAAGGTGAGGTTATAAAGATAACAGATATATTTAAATGAATATAAATAAAGAAAAAACATGTGTCTTGAATATTACATACAACTGCACATTCTCTGCTGTTCTCTTCATTCATATACATTGCTTTTCTATGTTTGGTCACTGTTCATCTATATTAACATCTATAATAACCGTTCACTCACACACTTCTTTAATGAAGTTGTCTTGAGAATTGTTAAATATGTCATAAGCTTGCTCGATACTGGACAAGAGGATGCTGGAACAGTCTGGTGCTAAAAAGAGGCGCCTATTAATTAACTTGCGGTGTCCCTTAAAAAGAAAAAACTAACCTGACATACTAAGTCTATTAGCATTAGTTTTAAAATGATTAAATTAATATTGAAGAAAAATATGTTTTAACATATCATATTTAATCAGCAAGAATTAACAATCATTAATCTACTAATAATATCTAATCAACAATAAAATTATTCTATATAAAACACTGGTTTGATTCATTGATATTAACGGCTTATTAGGTCTGTGCAAAAAGGCCAAGGTCTGATATTTCTCTGTACAGACCGAGCAAGCGAGGTCAATAAATGTTTCATTATATGACTCTCGCCTGTGTCTTTACCAATGCTTTTGAGATATTTGTGAAGTATGTTCATGTCCAACTTGGTTTTGTGTGATACGCGCTGCGGACAGATTGTCACGGTAACGGTCCGTGGAAAGATATCAAATGTAATGCGCGCTGTTCGGACCAATTGTCATGGTAACGGTCCGAGATGGGAAAATATCAGACCGCAAATCAACCAATCAGAGCGCGCGTACGGTCCAAGTCATATAATAAAATGTATTATAATGGGTTATTTTGCAAGATTCATTTACCTTAGATCCCACATCACGGCTCTTGGCACGCATTTTGTTGACCTGAGACTCTGCGATGTCGGCCCGTTCCTCTGCTTCGTCCAGCTCATGTTGCAGCTTACGGAACTTGCTCAGATGTGTGTTTGCCTGCTCTTCCTATAAATTAAAACAACACACTGAAACCAACCTGCATCATAATCAGAATCAGAATCATTTTTATTGCCACGTAACAGGAGGTCACAGACTTGGAAATTGCTTTGGCTCGGTGCAACAGTAAGAGAGAGAGAGTAAAAAATAAAGAATAAAAAAACACTTCTAAGGAAGACATTTAAAATTAAAATAGAGTTACAATTACTATATACCATATTCTATTAGCTCAGACATGATTGCACATATTCATTCCACCAATGTTCCCTCTAATTTTCATTGCTCTGAGCAGAAACACAAACTGTCTGAGAGGCCCCACTGTGAGAAAATGATGGCCATCTTGGACCTCAGCTCCAAATGTTTATACACAATGCAAACCCAGTTATTTAAGACATATCAGCACCAAACAAATTATATGATTCGGTTCAATGTCTTTTATTGATGAGTTTGAATTAATAACTATCCATATAAAAATATTAAATTCTGTTTTTGTATGTTTGTGGAGCTCTATGCACACACCACAGTTGCTGATGTTAGTGTCAGTGTCTGCAAGGCCACGATTGCAGTCCAGTGTGTAGAGACCCCAATAGCACTGTACAATTGTGCAAGTGCACAGCTTAGAGCATTCCATTCTCTGTTGTTTAAATCACATGTTATGCTTTCACAAGGAGCTCAAACTTACCGCCTCCTCAGCAGCTCTCTTATAGGATTTAACTTTCAACTGCAGTTTGTCAACCAGGTCTTGCAGACGTGCTACATTTTTCTTGTCTTCTTCGGTCTGTGAATAGTACATTTATTTGTAGGTGTTATTGGTTGACAAGAGTAACTTAAACAAATTTAGTACATTACCTGATAAGTAAGTTCTTTGATGCGGCGTTCATATTTACGAATGCCTTTCACTGCATCAACACTTTTCTTCTGTTCTGATTCAATCTCATTTTCAAGCTCCCTCACCTTAAATTGAATAGAACATTTTCTTATAGAAACATGTTGCAAAAAATTAACCAATCTTCCATTGTCTAAATGTCATTATTAGATATTAAGATAAATCACTCACAGTCACATTAAATGTATGTGTGAATTAAGTACATACTCTGGCTTCCAGTTTCTGCACTTGCTTCTTGCCTCCCTTCATGGCGATCTGTTCAGCCTCGTCCAGGCGGTGCTGCAGGTCTTTGATGGTCTGCTCCATGTTCTTCTTCATGCGTTCCAGGTGAGCACTAGTGTCCTGCTCTTTCTTCAGCTCCTCTGCCATCATGGCTGCATCAGTTATGGCCTTCTTGGCCTTCTCCTCTGCATTTCTGCACTCCTGCACTGCTTCCTCTACTTCAGTCTGAAGCTGGGACGTGTCGTTCTCCAGTTTCTTCTTTTGGTTTATCAGGCCTGTATTCTACCAATCAACAATTATGTATTAAGCATTAGCATTAATGAATGTTGTCTAAATAAAAGATGGAGATTATGTACGGAAAAAAAGAAATATATTTTCTGACAACACGCGACAAGGCCTGAAATTATTCAATGATCAAATGAAGCTTTTGATTATTCCGATCATTCTAATTCGGAAATTGCACTCAAGACACAATTTAATTTACCATAGAAGAGTTTTTCATTCTATAATAATACTTGATGTATTAATAGAGTACTCAATTACTAAAAATAATGATAGCTGCAGCTCCCACATGGTAGGGTAATAGTTTGTACTATTTTTTACATTTTACCTGTGAGTGGAGAAGCTGGACCCTTTCACTGACATCCAGCAGTTCTTGTTCAGCAAGTTTACGACTGCGCTCAGTTTGATCCAGAGCAGCTCTTAGTTCCTCAAGTTCAGCCTGTAGCAAATTGTTGCGTCTTTCCACAATGGCAATATTCTCTTTAAGGTCATCATTAGCACGAACAGAGTCATCCAGCTGAATTTGACAATCCTACACATGCAGACAGAAAAGTTCAAATAAAAAATGAATTAAAGAAACAGTTTGTACATTACATGCCTACTGCAAATGTGTTGCCAGTACTGTATCGAAGGTTAAGGTTATGGTTTACTTTATTTTCCCTGCAGAGTAACCTGTCTGGATCAATGGTCACAACAGTGCAGCAGCCGGAATTTGGATTAAGATTGTATTTAATTTCTTTAAGTAAAGAGAGATGCTATACTGAATATACACTTGTATGCGTATGTTGTATGCTTCTCATTCCTACTGTTCTGTAACTTGTGATGCAACACTGACATTTTCCCACTGTTGGACAATTAAAAGGATGTCTTAATCTCAATTTACCTTTGTTGCATGTTTTGGGTGGTGCCAAAACATGCAACTAACTATGATCAGAAACATGTTTGATTTGAACATGTTTACCTCATCTCTGAGGCTACTGATAAAAAGTACAAATGTAATTTATAATCAAAATTGTACATGATTTTTTTGAGGAAAATACATTTGGAAAGCGTGATATACCTTAAGGTGAGCATGAACTGATTTCAGTTGTTTCTGAGCCTCAGCTGCCTGCCTGTTGGCTTGGCTTAACTGGATCTCCATTTCATTGAGATCTCCCTCCATCTTCTTCTTCAGACGAAGAGCTTCATTTCTGCTGCGGGACTCCGCTTCCAAGGAACTCTGAAGGGTGTCGATCATCCTCTGCAGATTTCTCTTGGTTTGTTCCATTTCTTCGTCCTTTTCAGCCAGTTTACGCTCAATTTCAGCTTTTATCTGATTGAACTCCAGCTGAGCCCTGAGAATCTTTCCCTCCTCATGCTCCAGAGAGGCCTAATGAATAATTGTCGAGTAAATTGTAAACCATGGAGATTTTTTTTATTTTAATCAACTAGAACAGTAAAATTTTACCTCTGCTTCTTCTAAAGCTGACTGGATCTCACTCTTTTCTTGATCTAGTTGTTTTCTCAATTTCTCCAATTCATGAATGCTCTTTCCAGACTCTCCAAGTTGCTCCGTCAGGTCAGAAATCTCCTCTGTGAATAAGAAGCATAGTATAATGTATTTCATTTGTGTGGGGATAAAGTAATTATGTGTTTAAATCACAATGCAAGTGACCTTGCAAATTCTTGTTCTCTCGTTTCATGGTCTCCAGATGATCCAAAGATTCTTCATAAGAGTTCTTTAACTTGAAAAGTTCAGTGCTCAAGGCTCTTGCCTCCTTTTGGGAGCTCTCCAGCTCAGCTTGTGACTCTTCATACTTTTGTTTCCACTCTGACAAGATCTAATAACAAATGTTAATTAAGCTCATTCAGTTTTATAATGTGAGGCCTCAAACTAAAAATACCTACTTTATCAAAGTTTCTTTGCTTCTTGTCAAGCGCAGCTGCAGCAGCATTCGACCTCTCCACGTCCACCATGAGATCTTCAATCTCATTCTGGAGTCGATGTTTGGTCTTCTCGAGAGAGGAGCACTTGGCGTTAACTGCTTCCACTGCCTCCTCAGCCTCTTGCAGGCGCTGAGCCAACTTTTTCCTTTGTGAATAATGGATAATTTTTCATGTCCTGTTGGTAGTCTGGTTTCATTTGTACAAAGGTGTCAAACTAACTCTAGAAATGGCCGGCGTGGCTGCAGGGATTCATTCCAACCAAGCGGGAGCACACTGGACTCAAATCCTGAAGCCACACCGCCTTTTTGAGTATCATTTTGACACCGGTGATTTAGTATATCAATCATCAGGTCAAAGGCTGCCAAGTCATCTAACAAACAAACTTTTTGTTCGTCTTACATTTTTATAGGAACATAACACAAACAAAAAGCTGATCCGACAGATGCACAATTTTCTATAATCAATTATTAAATGATATTCACAAATGACAAGAATGAAATGATTCCATTTTGTAAGACTTACTTGGCCTCCTCAAGTTCCTCAGTCCTCTGGATGGCATCAGTTTCATACTTAGTTCTCCACTGTGCCACTTCTGAGTTTGCTTTGGACATGCTTCGCTGGAGTTCAGCCTTGGCCTCCTGCTCTTCTTCATACTGCTCTCTGAGCAGGTCACAGTCATGACGAGAAGACTGCACGGCATGGGCTAATGCATTCTTTGCCTAAACATTATATAAATTCCAGATTACAAAACCTATTCATTAGAGCTACAATCATCTATTGGTTCTCACCTTAGTTTCCTCTTCCAGCTGACGCTTTAGATCTTCAACCTGCTGTGTGTAAGACAGTTTTCCTCTTGTTAATTGCGACACTAGGGAATCTTTCTCCTCTAGTTGTCTTGAAAGCTCACCTTAGGGAGTAGAAAATACAAAAATATAAATAATAAAAAATAAAATATGTCCAGTTTTCACACATAGCTTGACAAAAAATACCATTCTCAGTTTGAAGCTTTGCTTTTTGCATGTTAAAGTCGTTGATGTATCGTTGAGATTCTTCATATTTTGCTTTGTATTCATGCATTTGGTCTTCAAGAGTCCGACATGTTTTTTCCATATTGGTCTGAAAAGTTTGATTTTTATTTATTTTATCTGACATTAAATTTAAATTGATATTTGTGTGTAACCCACTTTTGTCTTAACAATATGCTCCATATTGGAGACCACATCATCGAGCTCCAGTCGAAGTTCACTTTTCTCTTTCTCCAGCTTCTGTTTGACTCTCTGGAGGTTATCGATCTGCTCTCCCAGATCAGCCACACTGTCGGCTTGTTTCTTCCTGAGAGTAGCAGCAGTGGCCTCGTGCTGCAGAGTGGCCTCCTCCAAGTCTCTCCTCAGTTTCTGAAACTCTGCCTCCCTTTTCTTGTTCATCTCGATTTGAACAGATGTCGCTCCACCAGCCTCCTCCAACCGCTCACTGATCTCCTCCAGTTCTCTGGCTAAGTCTGCTCTCTGCTTCTCCACTTTGGCTCGAGCAGCTCGCTCTGCTTCAAGCTCCTCTTCCAGCTCCTCAATGCGGGCCTAGAATGATAAAAAATATTTTATTTTGTCTCCTTGTCATGAATACAGTTGATATATTCTATGTAAACTGTTGGTTACTGTATTGTACTATAAGTATTACTCATGATGACAACAGTGATTCTGTACCTGTAGCTCTTTTAGTTTCTTTTGAAGTTGAATAGCAATAGCCTGCTCATCTTCAATTTTACTGTTGAGCTGATTCAGTTCAAAGTCTTTCCTGTAGATGCAAAAACCTGTTAAAGTTTTTGAAGATTGTGATTCTATAATGTAGAATTATAGTTATATAATTCAGTTGATTACTTTTTCAAATGTTCCTCCAGTTGTTGTTTGTCATTCTCTACATCCATCAAACTTTCCTGAGTCAATTTTAAGTCTCCTTCCAGTTTTCTTTTGGCTCTTTCAAGATCCATACGAATTTTTTTCTCTTGCTCCAGTGATCCTTCAAGCTAAATAAAAAGGAGGGGCACATTTTTATTAACAAACATTGAAAAATAACGTTAACAGCTAATGTGTGGCATTGCATACTACATATGTGAACATTATTCGTAGTACATTTATAGGGATGATGTGTCACACTAGACTATATATATTAACACTACTACATTCATATAGTATTAGTGATGCATGAGCTAAATGTTTAAAATGATATTATCACCATCAACACTTACATCATCAACTTGTTGCTCCAGCTTTGTCTTAGCTTTGGTCAGAGTGTTGACTTTGTCTTCCTCACTCTGCAGGTCATCCAGTGTTTGCTGATGAGCTTCCTGTAAGGCTTTCTTCTCTTTGGTCAGCTTTGCTATGATTTCATCCAGCGCAGCCATTTCCTCAACAAGGTTTTTTACCTAAAGTGTCCAATGTACATCATTATATTCTGATGAAATAGATTGTCAATGAAGTAATAAGGACCTTGTTCTCAGTGGCATGTTTCTCCTTCTCCACTTTAGCCAGAGTTAGCTCGAGGTCATCAATGTCTTTCTTCAGCTCAGAGCACTCGTCTTCCAGCTTTCTTTTCTTGGCAGTGAGTTCTGCATTCATCTCTTCTTCATCTTCCAACCTTTCAGACAGCTCTTTGGCTTTAGCCTCCATTTGGATTTTGTGTTTTATCAGTCCCTCACATCTTTCCTCTGCATCAGCAAGATTGTCTTGCTCCTATTTGTATTAATAGATAGATAGATAATTAGGCACAATTATTATAGCTATTTCCTTTTTTTGATCTAAGTGACGGCAGTTGCACTCCAGTGCGTCTTTTGGCACATACCGCTTGAACTTGGAGCTGCAGGTCATTCTTCTCTTGAAGAAATGAAACCATTTTCTCCTCGAGTTCCTTCCTGCGGGCTTCTGACTTTGCGTACGCCTCTTTGAGCTTCAGAAATTCTTCCTTCATGTTTGCCATTTCTTTTTCTGCTTCTGCAGATCTCAGCAGAGGTTTGATCTTGAAGTAGAGTTTCATCCAGGGCCAATTCTTGACCCCCATAAAAGCCCGAATATTCCACTGGATCACTAACAAGGCATCTCTGTTCAAATGCAATGTCACTGATTAATTAAAGGATGGTTAACACAAACTCAAAAATGCTTTTGGTTGAAATGTGGAAATGACCATTGTATGCTGTATGGTTCTAAACAGTAACTCTTTACCTTCTTTCTACAATCTTTTGGAACTCCACTCTTGCCAACAATCCCCGAGATCTTGCTTGGATTCCTGTGATAATCAGTGACAATCTGTCATCCCTCATTTCTTCTAATTGTCCAAGAAGCCCAGCTTTAAAGAACACCTTTAAAAGTTTAAAAGTACAATCTTTCAGCTCAAAGTTTTTTATCAGACCAAATTAGACATTTTGCCAATATGTATTTCATATCGTACCTTGGTATGACCAAACTTGTATTGACTATGGTCAATATCAAGAGACCCAAGAAGTCTTTCAGCTCCCTTTTTGCTGTCAATGAATTGACCTTCTGGGATGGCAGCTGGGTTTAGAATTCGATACCTGCATTTTTTTTTCCCACAAATAAATGTTAATGTATTTGTTATCAAACAGTATGCGGTTCATTTGTAATTGATTTGCACCTCTGCTTAAAGTCTCCATAGAGAATCCTGTTGGGGAATCCTTTCCTGCAGATCCTGATACCTTCCAGAACACCGTTACAGCGCAGCTGGTGCATCACAAGAGGGTTCTCCATGGCCCCAGGAGTCTTGGTCTCATTGGGGATGAGGCAGCGCACAAAGTGAGGATGAGTGGACCTCAGGTTGGTCATCAGCTTGTTCAGATTCTCCTGTTAATTCAACAAAGTTGATTTATTCATTGTTACTTGTTATGCTGCATTTGCTCGACTTACCCTGTGTAACGCTGACACAGTCTGAAAGGATGAACCTTTCTTTTTTGCCCCTTTTCCCTTTGCAGATTCTTGAGCAAAACAAGTAAAGTATAATGTCACTTCAACTCTCATGTATCAAAATAGTCAGAGTAACTGTGTTGAATTACAAACCAGATTCAGCCACAGCATAATTTGCAAAAAGTATAGAAAGCATCTTCAGGTTAGACTTTTGGTAAAGTCCTACGACCGTCTCATTGAGAGGGTCCTTGTTCTTCACCAGCCAGTTGTTGATATTATAATCCACTGTTCCAGCATAATGAACCAGAGCAAAATGAGCCTCTGGTTTCCCTTTGACAACCCTGGGCTTCTGAAAATTGGCAGATTTTCCCAGGTGATTGTCGTAAAGCTTTGCTTTAAATGTGGCGTCACTGGCTTTTGGAAACATACACTCTTCTTCAAGGATGGACATGATACCCATGGGCTGGAGAGAATGAATATGATTGAATGAAATAGAAAAACTTCAAAGTATTTAGGTACCGGTAATGATTTTACCTTTTCAATCAGGTCAATACAGGCCTGTAAATCCATGCCAAAGTCTATGAAAGTCCATTCGATGCCCTCTTTCTTGTACTCCTCTTGCTCCAGTACAAACATGTGGTGGTTGAAAAACTGTTGCAGTTTTTCATTTGTGAAGTTGATGCACATCTGCTCAAAGGTGTTGAACTGTAAGAGAATACATGAAAGGTAGCACAATCCTTATTTCAATGTAATGAGCTGAACATGCGTGGTACATACATCAAATATTTCAAATCCAGCGATGTCCAATACACCAATAAAGTACTGACGAGGCTGCTTGGTGTCCAAGGACTGGTTGATCCTTACTACCATCCACAGAAACATCTTTTCATACACTGACTTAGACAGTGCACCAATAGCATAGTTCACCTATTAAAAACACAGACATTACAAATTCCTTTTTGACGAATTGACCATTGTTTCAAATATTTGAACATTTTACCTGCTGAACATTCTGTCCTTTGGTGACCCACTCGTTTCCTACTTTAACTCTTGGATGACAAAGTCCTTTAATCAGGTCAGCAGAGTTCAATCCCATCAGATAGGCTACTTTGTCGGCATCTGGAAAACAGCATTTATGATTTATGATTAGTAATCAAACCATGAAAACTTATGTTTGATCAATCCAACCTTCAGTTCCATCAGCTTCTGCTTGCTCTTCTCGTTGCTTCTGCTTGAACTTCATGTTTCCATGATGCATTATAGCCCCTGTCAACTTGTATATCCCATTCTTCTCTTCTTGAGTGAAACCCAGGACATCAAAGGCATCCTAATACAGAACAGATTACTTTCTGTACATACTCGAGTGTGTATTTCTTGATTGACAGTCGCTAAGACAAAATTCCTCAGGGATAATGGAATATAACCCTGGATTGACATTCAACTCAAATGATTTTAATCCTGGCTATTTCCATCTTTTTATTTTTTTAAATGAGTAATGACTCAAATAAATCTTAATACATCTAACTACTGCTCAGTCTAAGATAAAACATGCTGAAAAGTAACAAATTCCTGAACACCATCAAAAATACACAAACCAGGAAATTATTATGAACTTTTAGATCTCCACTTACATCAGTTGCCATAAGCTCTTCAGCATCATTGATGGAGGCTACAGTCGTCTCTCCTTGGGAGATGAATGCGTAGTCATAGGGATTGTTGGTTATAAGCAGCATTTCTAAAACATAGAGACTGTCTTGTTAGTGTCCTGTGTCATGGCAGATGAGTTTAACTTCCAACTTACCTAGCAGCTCTGGCTTTTTCTGAGAGAGAATTTGATAAAAAATATGATAATCCCTTTCAGCTTTGAGCTGAAAAGTGACTCTGGACTTTTCCAGTAAATCTGGAAAGATTGTATTAATCATAGTATGATGGTTATCAAAAATAAACATCCAACCAAGATCTTACATGTTTCAATATCAGCTGATGCTAGTTTTCCACTTGCAGCGAAGTGAATTCGTATGAATTTGCCCTGAAAAGTGAGATGTTATCTATAATCAAAGCTCTGCAAATCTATAGGAGTGCAAAAAGCAAACATACAAATCTTGATGAGTTATCATTTCTGATGGTCTTGGCATTGCCAAAAGCTTCCAGAGCAGGGTTAGCCTGGATGATTTGATCCTCCAATGTTCCCTGACAGAGGAAACAGCCATGAGCTTAAAAAGTGTCATGCGTCCATTGATTATGTTCCTAAACTCACCTTTTTTTCTGAACCTGCATCTTTCTTTCCACCACCAGCTGCAATGCTGGCAAAGTACTGTATTACCCTCTTTGTATTGACAGTTTTTCCTGCACCTGATTCTCCACTGGGGGAATAATTAACAAATATTAACAATACAAAAGTATTAAAACAACAATCTATATATAAATAACAAAAGTAATTTATATTTTATAAATCACCACTCACGTTATAAGAATAGACTGATTTTCTCTGTCTGAGTGAAAAAAACATTGAAAACGATTTGTGTTAGTTTGTATAAACAGAAATATATACCAACAAATATATACCAACAACAAAAAAGCGCTGTGCTTACTCACCTGTTAACATGTACTGATAAGCATTGTCGGAGATGGAGAAGATATGTGGAGGAGCTTCACTCCTCTTCTTTCCTCTGTATGCAGAAACGACTTCTTTGTCGTAAACTGGCAGCCACTTGTAGGGGTTGACAGTCACACAGAACAGCCCAGAGTAGGTCTGTGAAATTTAAAGACCACAGTGAATAAGTAGATTTTGCACATCATCAGTACATCGTAAATAATCTCACATAGATCATCCATGCTGCATAACGCTCTTTGAGGTTAAACAGCACAGCAGGCTCATGGAGGAAGGTGAACATCGCCATGTCTTCAATTTTATCAAACTTTGGCGGGTTCTGGGGGTGTACGTCACACTCCTTCACAGTTACAGTCTGTACAAAGAAATAGATTGTCATTTCTGGTAATATTTCAAAGGTAGTTTGCAAAATATAGCATTTATTGAAGCACACAGTTTTTCACATTTGACAGACATGTTTGAATACCAAGTTTTTAAAATAGTTCATAGACATGTATTATCCAAAATGACAAAAAAAATGGCTAACCTTCCCTTTCTCCGTCTGAGCGGTGACTTTGTCTCCTTCTCGACTTGTGATGGATGCTTTGACATATTCCTCATCTGGATCTGGCACAAAACATTCCTTCTTCATGTCAAAAGGACGAGTTTGGGCTTCCAAGCGTTCCCTGTCGGACTTCCTCAGGTATGAGGCTGCAGGCCCAAAGTCTTTCATGGCAGCATCACCCATTGTTCACGCTATTAAACAAATATCACTTTAATAAAATTGTGAGACACAGTTTGATATGACATGGTAATACTTACCCTACCAGTGCCTTCTAAGGAGAATGAAGAGACCCCTTTGAATAAAAAGAATAGAAAGGTATGTGTTTAAAAAAATTAGTTGTTAAAACTGCTCCAGGACCTTACCTTGAGATAGAATTGTGACCTATTGTAGGATTCACCATGAGTTCTCTTTTTAAATGAAGCCCCTGCTCCAAATATGGAGGAGATTTAAGGGTCTCAGAAGGGTATTGTGTCTGAGATGGGTTGGAGGGGGGACTTGCAAAGGGGAGGGGGTCAATGAGTGACAATGAATGAGCAATATAGAAATCAGCAGGTCATTCTTATCAGTGATGGGTCTCCCAACGACGCCATATTAGGCACTCCCTGCAGCTTAGTGATTAATCATAGGTATCCTCAAGCACCAGGGACCACACAGTCTTTAAATAGACAGAATCTGGAATTCCTTTCTCTTCATCTTCTTACGTTTCCATCCTAACAAAGATAATCTGAACCCATTTGGATGTACAACAATAAAAATCATTACAATTGCAGATCAAGTTTACATTATTATGAATCACAAATCTATATAGCCTTTCAATTGTTTTACTTAATATAACATAATGATATTATACCTAACAAAAACAAGCTCTGTTTTCATGAACAGAGATATGTGTACATGTAAATTAGCTATGTTTACATACAAATAGTATTGTATGTTGTATCTAGGGAGACATTTACAAGTATGTCATTCCTTGGTATCGTTTACCCAGCAGGATTACGTTAAGTAACTGCAAGGCATTGACTACATATTGTGATCACTTATCAAAGACTGGGTTAAACAGCCGTGAGATACTGAGCGTGTTGTTCTAAATAAGGAACATTCGTCTATGAGATTAACCAGGCGACAAGTGCGAGGCAGCACAGACAGAGGTCTGCCACAGGTGACATACTTGAGATTTACTCAAAGGCAATAATGATGACACAATAGAAGGTTATGTCTGCGAGCCACGCTCCAGTGTGAAGCCAAGGTCACTATGAAGGCCTTCTCCCATTATCCTGCAGCAGCCTGTGAACACTGGCCCCTCTGTAACAGTCCTGTTGACATGGCATTGTGTCTTTGCAGACAAAGATAACTTGTGAAATTCCGACCCAGAGCCTCATACTGATTGAAGGAGATGGCTAAAGAGGCTTTCAGAAGCCAACATTGAGGATCAACTCGACCAGAGGATAGCTTCTCGCTCTTGGTGTGTCTCATAAATATCATTCTGTCAGTTTAATCCCCATCCATCACCACAATTTGCTGTACAGATTTTAAAAACACAGCAGAGTAGCATAAGTATTAGTCTTAATTAGTTAGTCTTTAATATAGTGTATTATGTATATGTATGTTTGTGTATATATATCATATATACCCACTGCATTATTATATACAATATCTCTATCTATTGAAAGGTGAAGCGGTCAACTGCTGCTGACAAGTGCTGAGATTATTTCCATTCTGATAACACCAGCCGTGCCTCAGAAAACAGGCGTCAGGGTGCCAAAGTGTGCTGAGAGATTCCATGACCCAACTAAAGACAGCACTGACCTTTGGCTACTAAAAGGGACGCCAAATTAGTTAGAAGTATTAGAAATGAAATTTAAGAGACCCATCCATCCATTTTCTTCCGTTTAATCCATTTCTGGGTCAGGGGGGTGGCAGTCAGAGATGCCACCCAAGTCTCATAGCACCAGCCCCTCACTGATCCTCTGCAGGTGGTGAGTCCACAGGAGGACGGCTGCTCTCTGAGTGTGAGCATAGCCTTGATCTTTCAGTGGGGGCTTTGGGCAAAGTGGGGTTAAGTGTCTTGCCCAAGGACACAACGACAGCAGTCATCAGTGGGAGTCGGTGGAGAAGGTTCAGAGGTGGGAATTGAACCCACAACTACCGTCGCCCCAAATTTAAGAGACATTAGGTAATAATAAAAAAAAAATGTTTACATCTTTTATCAGCGTCTCGAGCAGGGCCAGCCTTAGGGCGCCAACTAGTGGAGAGAGCACCAAACTGCATTACTGAAAAAGTGTTTAAGAATATTGTTAAATATGATTGTTAAATCTGATCTCTAGCACTTCCCCATCTTTTATATTATCGATCTCATTGACATATTATTATTAAACAAGCAGAGATAGCCTCTCTATGCTGAGTATCAGCACAGGATTATGTTAAATAATACTACAAGTCTGAGGTTTGTTTGATGTTTTACAGTTTCTTAAAATCAATACAAGCAAAGCAACATCGCATTCACAATTAAGACAATGGAAAACCATTTTTAAAAAGCCTTAAAATTAACAATATTGTGGACACAGTTAAATTGCTGATGAATCTTTATTAACAATTACAGATCATTCTGAGTGAGGCTAATTAAACGTAGCAAACAAATGCTTATGCATTGGGGAAGAAACATGGTTTCCATTAGTGTGATGGTAAGACTCACAGGTAAGTTTATACTAATACAGATTGCATGCTTCAAACTTCATTTCATTCATTTCATTTGTTTATTTCTTTCGAGCCCATAACATTACACATTTGTTTACACAACAAGCATCCCACAACATTGCACAAGAGCAGAACATGATTCACTAATGCTCCTGTGCCCTGAAGAAACATTTATAAAATATATATATTAAAATTTAAAACTTAAGGTCCTATGTTGGCTTGTTCATCATACTCAACTTGTGGAATCAACTTAAAGGAACATTGGCCTGTTCTATCTGTAACCCATGGTACACTTTTAGTCAACGTTCAGTTCCGGTGAAAAACTGATCACAGTAAGGTGCAATGATGAAACACAAATTCCAGCACTTGCCCTCACAGCCTCCTTTACAGATGTCTTGGAGATTTTTTCAACCAGGTCTTGCAGAAATGCGTTATTCTTTTGATCTTCTTCAGTCTTTTTAAAATGAATGTTCTATTTTTTGGCCTTTAAATAACATAAAGGATTGCTTGCAGGACTGATAGGTAGGGATGCACGGATTGTGAAATTTTGGACGGAGACTGATGTTAAACAACTTAGCCGATGGAATATATACAGTTCTTGGCGGCTTCAGTTTTCTGTTTTTCTTCGGCTTGCATGCAAACCCTGTTTCTTCATCTCCTCTGCCATCATGGCTGCGTCAGTTCTGGCCTTCTTGGCCTTCTCCTCCGCATTTCTGCACTCCTGCACTGCTTCCTCTACTTCAGTCTGAAGCTGGGATGTATCAGCCTCCAGCTTTATCAGACTAGTTCTGTTCGGACTGTTCTGCGTCATGAAAACAGATTGGTTAGTTTTTACTGTTTGGTTGATTAAACCATCATAGTATTTATGTGTTATCTTTTAGTTTAAAACAATATATAAACGAATGTTCACAGTGCCAAATTATTTGTACCAAAGTATTACGAAGAGGATTTTGTTTTTTAAAACTCAATTAACGTTAAACAACTGTTCTGTATGTATATCTAATTGTATTTTGTGATTTAATTATATTCACATTACATTTTTCAAATCCAGCAATGAGAAGGTGTTTGTCCTCACACGTTCAGTTTATTCTTTCACAAGCAGTAGATTCTCTTGTAAACAGTAGATTCTCTCACATACAGTAGATTCTCTCACATACATTCTCCATGCTGTTTAACCTCTCCATGAGGTTAACAGGCCTCGTGGAGGAAGGTCATCATCGTCATGTCTTCAATCTTTTCAAACTTTGAGGATTCTGTTGTAGAACCTGGTAAGCTTTCAGAGTCACAATCTGCAGATGAAAATCAAATACATGTATTTATCTTCCACTGGAAATGTAATCTGAATTTTTTCTGTTTGACAGCACTAGCATACCATAGACTGTGGCCAGATGGCAGCAGTGCCCTGTGTCAACACCCAGCTGCTTAACATACTGACAACAGTCTATTTGATTACAAACAGCCATTTAAACTTGTATTCACACTGACTCAAGGATGTAGTGTTTAAATTACGACTAGCTTAACACTGAGATTAGCTCCTGATCCAGGAGCAGTGTTCACTTATAGTTTAGAAAACACTCATTATCTCTCCTGTCTCTACTGGGAACGGACTTAAAAATCTATCTACTTACCCCTTACATGCCCTGACCCTCACCTCATCCAATGGGCTTGCAGGGTTACAGTTAGGGTTAGAGTGTGCCCAAGGTTTAAGGGTCAGAATAAAATAAGAATAAAACATGATTTTGTTGATTTGTATGTCAATCACTGCATTTTTGGGCATGACTTGTTACACAATTTCATATATTTTGTTATGTTTCATTTTTTTGTTTTCTTAATGTTGCTTTTAAAACTGAGATGTAGTTTTTGTACACATTGCTAGATTGTTTTGATAGGAGTATAGGTTTGGAGTTTTTGTGAGATTTAGGTTTTGGGTTGGCGCTGGGTGGAGCCTACTAAGGCCTATCGAGGTGCCCTTCTAACCCTGGAACTTCACTCTTTTCGCTGTTTCTCTTCTATCACCAACAGTAACATTTTTGTCACAAGTATGGTCAATATTTTTCTCTTCGTTCTTCATGAAATCATGAACATTGTGGAATGTTATTGTGTGTGTGCTATTTAAAAAGAAATATGAATAACCTTATGCCCATCTCTGCTGACGGCAGCTGCCCCTACAAACTTCTCGATGTAATTTCTGCGACAGTCGCACCAAACACATGGGTGCTGGATTGGAATTTATGTCACGACTGTCACTTTCATCACATAGCAAACTAATATTTTACTAAATTAAGAGTAATCTACTCTTTCGGTGCTGCAAAGTAGCAGAAATACTACACAAGCTCCCAAATCCGAAGCACTTCCTATGCAGAAGTCACTGGATAGAAAGTGTCTGTGCAGAA